AATCAATCAGTGCGGGGTCCAAACACGGCGGGCACGGCCACGGCGGGTTCGGGCCACGGCGGGTTCGTGCCACTGCGGGAGGTTGCCACGGCGGGGGCCGGACCCCGCCGTGGCCGATGCCGCCGCGCCCACGCGCCCTTGGACGGCGTCAAAACGCCGCGTTTGGGCGCGAACACTGGGGCCTCCTGTGGCGCCCTGGGGCTTCCTGGGGTCTCCTGGAATATCCCGGGGCTTCCTGCTGCTTCCTAGGGCTTCCTGGGGCCTCCCGGGGCTTCCTGTGGCATCCGCAGAGCAGGCCGAGCATCCGACGAGCTTCCGCCGAGCTTCCGCCGCCGATTCCGCCGAGCTTCCGCCGAGCTTCCGCCGAGCTTTCGCCGAGCTTCACGCGACCGCTTTTTAGCACCTTTACTAGAGGCGCAGGTCAGCGCGGCCACGCGCGCGGCCGCCAGCGCCGTCGCCAGCCACAAGCCTGCAATCGGCGGGCCGCTCCTCTCGGCGCCGAGAAGGCCGACGCCGGCAGTGGAGTCGGCCCTGGCCTCGCCCCAATGGTCAGACCATTGCCGGGCGCCCCTCGCCGCGGCAAGGGCACCCAAGAGCAAGGCCCAGGCCGACTTCAATGCTGGCGTCGGCTTTCGCGCCCGCGATCCTACCCAGTCTAGCCCACGTCGAAGGCAGCAGGGCGCTGCGCAGCGGCAGCGCTGCGGCCGCCAGCCTGCAGTCGGCGGGCCGCTCCCCTTGGCGCCGAGCAGGCCGACGCCAGCAGCGCAGTCGGCCTTGGCTTCGCCCCAATGGTCAGACCATTGCCAGGCGCCCCTCGCCTTGGCCAGAGCGCCCAAGAGCGAGGCCCAGGCCGACCTCAATGCTGGCGCCGGCTTTCGCGGCCACGATCCCACTCCGCCTAGCCCCCGTCGAGGGCAGCGGCGCGCTGGCCAGCGGCGGCGCTGCAGAAGTACTTGTAGCCGTGGCGCAGTCGACGTCCTTGACCAGCGTAAGGAACTTGCGGTAGAACCCCCTGACACGCTCCACCGCTCCGCCCCCCCCCCGAAAACCTTGACCTCATCGCTCTGGCCCTTGGCGATGATCTGCGCAATCGAGGGGTTCGACGGCGGCGTGGCTGACGCGCCGTGCCTGGCGCGATGCTCGCTCACCAAGAATCTGATTTCCTCCTCGGCCACCGGGGCGTGCTTGCTGCCGCTGCGCTGGGTCACGCAGCACGACCACATCTTCACCTGATCATCGCAGCTGACCGCGAAACGTGCCCCCCCAGCGGCAGCGGGCGGCTCTTCCGCGGCAGCGGCCTTATCCTCCTCGACGGCGCCCCCATCCTCGCCCTCGGCGGCGGCGGGCGGCGGCTCCGCGGCATCGGCCCTCTGCTTCGTCCTGCGCGATGGCTCTCCTGGCTCGGCCTTGCGCTTGCCCTCGACGCGGATCTGGTCGTCGATGGCCTGCTCAATCTGCCTGTCGGCAGCGGCATCGACAGGTGGCGGCGCGGGCCATCCATCGCGCACAATAATGCGGCGATAGTCCTCCTCCGCCGCGGATTGGGCGCCCACCGCCTCAATCTCGACAGCGACGCGCGGCCTCTCGCCATGGGCCGCCGCACGTACTTCTTGCCATCCTTGCCCAGCAGCGCCGCGCCCGCGGTGCTCGCGCTGGCGGCCGCGGACTGCGCGCCCCCCAAGACGGCCTGCTGGATCGTGAGCTGCGTCAGCTTGGGCGGGTCGGCGTGGACAAAGATCGTCGGCGGGGCGCGAAGGAGCAGCTGCAGCCTGCCCGACGACGCCTTCTGCGCATCCTCCTCCCCCCTCGGCTCCAGCTTGACCTTTGTCTCGGCAGCCTGGCCCTTGGCGGCGGACGCATCCACCTGCGCCTTCGCTGCCTCTGCCTCCTCCTCGGGGCTCGCCTTCGCATTGGCCGTGTCATCGGACGCGGCCTTGGCCTTTGCGCTGAGCGGCGGTTGGGATGCGGCGGGCCGCCGCAAGACCCGCTGCTTGGGGGCAGCGCGCGTCGCCCTGGGCGCCGCGACCGCGGGCGGCGCGGACGCGGCGCGCTGCTTCGGGGCGGCCGCCATCCCGCGCGCCGCGGGCCTGCCGGCGGCACGCCCCGCGCTGGCCGCGGCGGGCGCGGCGGCTGCCCCCGCGGCGGCGGGGGGCGGGTCGCGCTCGGCGCCCTCCTCGTCCGAGTCAGCGCCCTCGCCGTCGGCGCCCTCAGCCCCCTCGCCACCCTTGCTCGCCCGCCCGAACTTCCCCCGCAAGCGCTCCTCGGCCTCCTCCGCGGACTCGGCGGGCAGCTGATCGGGCGCGGGCCAGCCCACGGGCTCGCCGTAGAACGCGAGGATCATGGCCTTGGCCTTCTCTGCCTGGGCCCCCCCCCCCGCCCCGCCCAAAGGTCCCAGGCGCGACCATCGGCCAAGCCATCGCGATCGAGGCGACGCGCCGGAGGAAAGGGGCGAGCGAGTCGGCGCCATTGCAGATGACACTGACGGCGTGGAGGTCGCACATCGCCTCGACTGCGCGCGCTTGGCGGTGTCCACGTCCGCCCAGTTCTTCAAGCGCTCGCCGCCCTTGTCCCTGCGCGCCTGCTTGGCCCCCTTCCTGTAGTCCTGGCAGGCTTTCATCTTCTCGTCGACGGCCTCCGCCCCGAGGAGGTTGAGCTCGCAACCAGGCCCCGCCTCTCGCACTCGATGAGGAGGAACGCGGCGGGGTGCTCGAGGGCCGACATGATCTTCAGCGCCCAGCTGAATTCGGCCTGCATCATTGGGGGCCTGACGAGCTGGCCCATCACGCCTTGCTCGCGAAGCGCCTGCATGGCGCCGCTGGCTTCCTCCGACGTCATGCGCAGCCCTGCCTCCTTCAGTCCGCTGAGCTTCGCTGGCGCCGCATCCCACTCGAGCATCTGGAATAAGTAGCTCAGCCCCATGCTGGCGCCGTCATTGAAGGAATCTGAACTCACCCTCGCGGGCACCATGTACTCCCGAAGCCACGCGACCTCGACGACCTGCGGGCCCTGGAAGGGCCACGGCGTGCGGCTCTTCTTGGCGGGCTCCGCCTCTTTCGCGATCTCCGCGATCTGCACCTTGGGCACGTGCACGGCGCGGCCGCCCCTCTGCAAGATCCGGATCCCCTCGATCAGAGAGGCCTCGGCTGGCGGTGGCGACCCCGCGCTGCTCGACGCGCCCCCGCCCGCGCGCTCCGGGGGCTGGCGGCGCAGCCTCTCCGCGCGCTCGAAGAGCTCCCCGAAGGCAGCCATGTCGTTCCTCTCAAGGGCGTCGTTGGCCTTGGCGGTCAGTAGGTCCAGTTGGTACGAAGCCGATGCAGCGCGGGGCGCCGCGGGCCCCGGGCCCGCTGCCGATGGCGAGGCGCCGAGGGCGCGGCCCTCGGCTGCCTGGGAGGCACTGGCGGGCTGGGGCTGCGCCTGGAAGCTGCGGCAAGGGCAGAGCTCGATGCGCTCGAGCAGGTTGCCGTGCACGGCGGGGTCCGTGGAGATTCGCTCCGCCCTCTGTTGCCATCCGCTCGTCAAGGGCCCTGCGCCAATATCGCTAACGAACGTCAGTGCATCGACGTTGAGGGGGCGCAGGTCCCAAGAGCGGCCGCAGGGGAAGTCGTCGAACTGTTTCGGGCCCCTCGTGCTTCTGGCAAGGTAGACCTGGAGCCCCGTCCAGTTGGCTGCCTGCGCCGTGGGCCGCAGGACCTCGGGGTTCCCGCTGCCACCTATGACGGCCGCCGATGCCTGGGTAACGGCCGCGACCCTGTTGCCAGCGAAGCCCTGCCCAACCTTTTTGGGCGCCCGGAATGGATGCCGAAAAAATGGGTACAATGCCCGACGGCAAATGCTGTCCCAAACCAACAGCGGCCGCTGTTGGGCAGGCGGCCTCCTGTCTCGAATGGACACAGGCCGCGGCGGCCGCTGTTGGGCATCGTGCCCATTCTTCCAGTACCCATTTCGCGCGCGCAGAACCTTCACGGCGAGGACCACCAAGTCATCCTGTCTGACCCGATTCAACCTCCCCGCCCCGATGGTGCATTCAAGCTTTTTTTTGCCGCCCGCGCGGT